AGATAAAAACTTGATATATGGTGAAGGTCATGATGTTGTTGAGGGATTATTTACAGGTCTCCCTCTTACATTTGTAAAACTCAAATTGACAGTGGTGGAGTCAAAAATCCAAAGAAAATTAAATATGAAACAAATTTTAAACAATTTGCTTCCACTATTTATTTTTACTCTCCAAAGGCTTATCGCTTTTTAAAGAGCCATTTTTGTATGCCATCTGAATCAACTTTAAGGAACTGGAGCTGCAATACAAGGATTAGGCCTGGTATTACTAATATCTTTAATAAAAATATTTTATTTTATTCCTTTAGGATTTTAAAAATTAAAAGTCTCCAATCAGAATCCTCAAATCAGCAATTATGTTGTGCTGTTAGTATAGATGAAATGGCAATCAGATGGCATATACATTGGGATAAAACAGAATTCCATGGTTATGTGGATTTAGGCAATGGAATTGCAATGAGTCACTTCCAATTGCAACAGGGGCATTATTTATGATGGCAACTTGTCTCAATGGATCTTTGGATACTTCCTAGTTTCTAGTATTAATTCCCAGTTATGAAAAAATTTAGTTATGAATGCTCTCCATCGGGAATGACTAAAATACGCGTCCCCAAAAACTACGCGTCCCCACGCGTCCCTACGCGTCCCCGGTCAAAACGACTTATTTTTATTAATATTAATAGGAAATCTTATTAAGCTTTATAAGATGAGTTAGAAAATGTTTTTTTTAATTTAAAAAAAATACGGTAACTATATAAAATTTACAAAAATTTATTTTTTTAAAAAATAAACTACGCGTCCCTACGCGTCCCCGGTCAAAATACAGTTTTTTTTAAAAAATCAAAACGGATTCATATTTAGCTTATTAAAAGAATACAGAATATGTAAATATTATATTTTAAACTATTTTATAACTTAGTGATTTTTTCAAAAAACACTTTTTTTTTTCAAAAACACTACGCGTCCCCGGTCAAAAAACCGTTTTTTAAAAAAAATAAAAGCAGATTCATGTTTAGCTTTTTAAGGAGATTCAGAAAATGGTATTAATAAAAAAAAATTAAAAAAAAAATTTTTACAGAATATGTAAATATTATATTTTAAACTATTTTATAACTTAGTGATTTTTTCAAAAAACACTTTTTTTTTCAAAAACACTACGCGTCCCCGGTCAAAAAACTGTTTTTTTTTTAAATAAAAGCAGATTCATGTTTAGCTTTTTAAGGAGATTCAGAAAATGGTATTATTAAAAAAAATTAAAAAAAAAAATTTTTTCGAAAAAATTTTTTTTGGCTAAACTACGCATCCCTACGCGTCCCCGGTCAAAATACAGTTTTTTTAAAAAAATCAAAACGGATTCATATTTAGCTCATTAAAAGAATACAGAATATGTAAATATTATATTTTAAACTATTTTATAACTTAGTGATTTTTTCAAAAAACACTTTTTTTCGAAAACACTACGCGTCCCCGGTCAAAAAACTGTTTTTTTTTTAAATAAAAGCAGATTCATGTTTAGCTTTTTAAGGAGATTATCGTTCGGAAGGCATACGTTCTAACCATTGAGAGCCCCCCCCCCCCGTAAATTTTATATTTTGATATATTTGTATATATATATATTTAAAAAATTTTTTTATAAAATTAATTTTATTTAATCAGAATGACGGGGTTGATGGGTAATTACTAATTAGTTAGGTGTATACGATACTAAATATGCTTTATTAATATATTTCATAAAAATATTAATATTTAGGAGAAAAAGAGGTAAAAATGTTGCAATGTAAGGGTATTAGAAATATCATAATTTACATTTATGATAGAAATCAACTTGGGTAAAATTTAAAATAGATATCCTTGAAAATTTTTTAATTTTAAATATGGGCTAGACATTGGCTTTTTTAAATATTTTATTTGAATTCTCAACTACCAAAATTATTCTGAATCTCCTTGAAAAGCTAAACATGAATCTGCTTTTATTTTTTAAAAAAAACGGTTTTTTGACCGGGGACGCGTAGTGTTTTTGAAAAAAAAAAGTGTTTTTTGAAAAAATCACTAAGTTATAAAATAGTTTAAAATATAATATTTACATATTCTGTATTCTTTTAATGAGCTAAATATGAATCCGTTTTGATTTTTTTAAAAAAACTGTATTTTGACCGGGGACGCGTAGGGATGCGTAGTTTAGCCAAAAAATTCGAAAAAATTTTTTTTTTAATTTTTTTTATTAATACCATTTTCTGAATCTCCTTAAAAAGCTAAACATGAATCTGCTTTTATTTAAAAAAAAACAGTTTTTTGACCGGGGACGCGTAGTGTTTTTGAAAAAAAAAGTGTTTTTTGAAAAAATCACTGTTATAAAATAGTTTAAAATATAATATTTACATATTCTGTATTCTTTTAATGAGCTAAATATGAATCCGTTTTGATTTTTTTAAAAAAACTGTATTTTGACCGGGGACGCGTAGGGATGCGTAGTTTAGCCAAAAAAAATTTTTTCGAAAAAATTTTTTTTTTTTAATTTTTTTATTAATACCATTTTCTGAATCTCCTTAAAAAGCTAAACATGAATCTGCTTTTATTTAAAAAAAAAAACTTTTGACCGGGGACGCGTAGTGTTTTCGAAAAAAGTGTTTTTTCAAAAAATCACTAAATTATTAAATAGTTTAAAATATAATATTTACATATTCTGTATTCTTTTAATGAGCTAAATATGAATCTGTTTTGATTTTTTAAAAAAAACTGTATTTTGACCGGGGACGCGTAGGGACGCGTAGTTTAGCCAAAAAAAAATTTTTTTTTTTAAATTTTTTTTTAAATTTTTTTTATTAATACCATTTTCTGAATCTCCTTAAAAAGCTAAACATGAATCTGCTTTTATTTTTTTAAAAAAACGGTTTTTTGACCGGGGACGCGTAGTGTTTTTGAATAAAAAAAGTGTTTTTTGAAAAAATCACTAAGTTATAAAATAGTTTAAAATATAATATTTACATATTCTGTATTCTTTTAATGAGCTAAATATGAATCTGTTTTGATTTTTTAAAAAAAACTGTATTTTGTCCGGGAATCTCCTTAAAAAGCTAAACATGAATCTGCTTTTATTTTTTAAAAAAAACGGTTTTTTGACCGGGGACGCGTAGTGTTTTTGAAAAAAAAAGTGTTTTTTGAAAAAATCACTAAGTTATAAAATAGTTTAAAATATAATATTTACATATTCTGTATTCTTTTAATAAGCTAAATATGAATCCGTTTTGATTTTTTAAAAAAAACTGTATTTTGACCGGGGACGCGTAGTTTATTTTTTAAAAAAATAAATTTTTGTAAATTTTATATAGTTACCGTTTTTTTTTTAAATTAAAAAAAACATTTTCTAACTCATCTTATAAAGCTTAATAAGATTTCCTATTAATATTAATAAAAATAAGTCGTTTTGACAGGGGACGCGTAGGGACGCGTAGTTTTCGGGGACGCGTATTTTAGTCATTCCCCTCTCCATCACATACATGAAACTGGAGTTATTTGTAAAGAAAAGGTCTATATGCTTCTAGATGTGTGTAACATGATGAAACTGTTAAGATCTAGCTGATGCCAAATTACTCATCAATATGGAAGCGTAACTTTTAAAATAAAATTTCTCATGTTATATTAAAACTTTATAGATCATAAATTGGGAGTTACATAATTTACAAGAAAATGAAGGCTTGAGAGCAGGGAATAAATTGAACCTATCACACATTCAATTTTATAAGCAAAAGATGAAGGTAAAATTATAATATATTTAATATATATAAATAATTTATAAGGTAAAATTGGCAGTACAAGTATTCAGTGCTTCTGTGGGAAAAGTCTGAACATTTCTGTATTTGAAAACTGTGATGGTACCATTGAATTTATTCTGATGATAGACATGTATAATATTAATAGATTATTTTTTATTTGAATTCCTCTAGAATGTTTGATTATTTGAATTCACGTCACATCTATGGTCAATAAAGCCACTTTATTTCAAAAATGAATTCAAGATTATAATAAATTTTTTGAAAAGTGTACTAAAACTTTATTAGCCTTTAAATTTGAAAAGAGAAACTGTCTATAAATCGAATCGTAAAACATGCATTGAGGGTTTAATTATGAAAAGTGTGCTAGCTTTGGGGAATGAATTATTGACAGGCCCTAACCCAAAAATGAAGTTCAAATTTTATTTATAAAACATATCTTTTTAAACCTTAATTTTTTTTTATATTTATGATTTTTATTTATAAATATCCTATAAAACCTTTTTTATTCCTATTTTTGTAGATATTTATTAACGTATAAGTTATCACAAGACCATCTAGAACTTTTCTTCTCATGTTTACGTAGTAGAGGTGGCTTCAATAATAATCCATCTGCATTCCAGCTGCGGTGTGCTGTTAGAGGTGTTCACACCTTTATTGGACAACTCTTATGATATACCTAATTGTTACAATTCCGTATATACTCAGAAGCTAACAACTGCTTTGTGGGAGAGTAGGTATCAAAGATATATTAAATATATATAAATTAAACAGAAGATTACTATTATGACTAAATTAATTAATAAATGCTTACTATAAAAAGAACCTATAATAACATGACATAAATATAATTTAATTAACTTAATTTTATTAATTAACTTTTATTACCTTTCACTTGATAGAATCACCGTACAATTAATCGGAACTCTTCCTTTCTATAATTAATTTATTACACTCCTAAATCAAAACAAATCTCCTTTCTAATATTATTTAGCACGCTAGATTTAAATCAAACAATTCTCTGTTCTTTATTTTAATTTTGGCCAACTATATATATACATTTTTGATATTCAAAACAAATAATATTATCTTTAGTTTAAAGTTTATTTGCAATAATATTTTCCATAAAATAACATTCAAATTTATAAAATAAAATAAATATTTCATTTGAATACAATACTAATATTTCACGACTATCTCTCTCCATTGATAATGTATCTACCTATATCTCTGGATACATTATCCGTAAACTTGTTGAAGAAAAAAAAGTGAGATGTCTGTTTACATTCACTAATAGATAATTCTTCAAACAACTATAATTACACTTTAATAAAAATTAAAAATTATGGTGGATTGGTAATACCATCCCAAAGCGTATCAAATTTATGCAAAATAAGAGAGCTCATTCAGGACTTTTGAAAAAGTATATGAAATAACTAAAAAACATGCCGTTAAAAAATTAGAATGTCTAATATTATCAAAAATATTAGGCACAAATATATTCAATGACCTGCAAGAACATATGTATGATCAAGAGGCAGGATTAAGTCATCATCACATTATAATAAGACTTATAAAAAGGTATATATAATTATTACTTGATTTTAATAAAATTTATTTCAGATACCTACATATATGTATGCATCATAATGGCAATAAAATCAATCAAAAATTGAAACTAAATATTAGACAAAAACTTAACAAAGCAGTACTTTTTCAAGGGCAATAAATCAGGTAGTATAAAAATATGTTATTTAACTTAAATATTTATAGGTGAAGGAAAAATTATTGTGAAAATTTGTTCGAAAAAAACCTTTGAACTTTATACTATACTTTATTTATTTATGATTAAACAATTTATTAGATATAAATATAACATATATATATATATTATTGTATTAATTATTGTAAAGATTATTTTTCCTGCTATATACATATTCATTATAATAATAAAATTATTTTATGAGATATAAATATAACATATATATTATTTGTATTTATTGTAAAAATTTATAAGATTATTATATTATTCGTTGATTTTTGTACTTTAGTGAATTAAATTTAAATAAATATATTTAGAAATGGATAGTTATAATTAATTATTAAGAATAACATAATTCAAAGCAAAAATAAAATATAAAAAGACTTATAAATTATATCTAATTTTTTTTTTATATAATTCAAAATATTTATCAATAAAATCATATATATTCAATTTTGTTTTTGAAGTAATTTCTAAAATTCCAAATCACATGTCAATTATTTTCATAGCAAATCTGACATAATAATTTTTACAAGAAAAATAGGTTATTAATATAAGCTGCATCTTAAGATTTAATTCTGAATATTTAATTTGATATATCATACTTATGAAAGGAAATTTTGCTTCCTGAACAATAAATTTGGTTACAGCCATATGCACTACAATATATTACCATTTTCTTAAAATATGAAAAATATATTTTATATAAATTTCAAATTATAATATATCTTTCCTCCCTTTGATTTTTGTTATTGAATATAAAATATTAAATTAATTCTTATAAAAAATATTCATTCTAACTTTATAAGATATATATTTCAAAAATCTTAAAGATATTCATGAGGTATTAAAGAAAACAAATCCATACTTCTCTAGAAATGACAAAATTTTAAACTATATTCTTATTACTATGCAGATTTTATTTTATATTGATTAGTCTATATAAAATATTTTCATTAAGTAATAAACTGCAAATGTTTATAAAATTTTTTTTATTCATCTATTAAAAAAATACAGGGGTGTCGCTAGCCTTTACAATCTCAGGGGGCTGAACTAAAAAAAATTTATGGGGGGCGTAATTTACGGGTCGGGCCGACTTTTTTAAAATTTACTAACCATAAATAATTATTCTGAACGTCATTTATTATATTTTGCATACAAAATAAACTAGCATATAAAAATAATATTTTTTAATAGAAAATACAATATATAATATTTTCGATTGTTGATATGAAATGATGTTGCGTCTAAAGAATAATAAATGATAAAAAAGGTTAATTAATTCATATATGCCTCAATTGATAATAGTTTGTGAAAACTACATAATATACAGGGTTATGCAGTATCGCGGATATTTGTATCTTGTATCTTTTTTAAAATTTTGGAAAGTATCTTGTATCCAGTATCTAAGATACATATTATTTAAAAGTATTTCAACCGAAAATTATAACAATAAATTTAAACTAAGCATACTTAATGGCAAATTTTTTGAAGTACTTCAAGATGATCATAATAAAGAAATTCATCGTGACTTTGGTATTGACGAAAAAGTTATAGCAACTGTTACAGGTAACAGCTCTAACTTTAAGAAAGCTTTCAAGGAGTTCGGATATTCTATGGAAGCTGTAGAGAATGACTTTGACATCAATGATGATAAATGTATAGAATTCGAAATCATTGAAAGTATTATTTAATACTTATTTAAATTTATTATTTTATAAAGTATCTGTATCCGAATACAATTTTCTGAAAATTTGCCCAACCCTGATAATATATTATAATTCTTAGCAACTTACATTGACAAAAGGTCATGAAACTAATATAACTCCCTATTACCATTTAAGACAATGTTTTATAGAATGGACTAATAAGAAAAAATTTATTCTTGAAGAAGAGAATATAAACGACCAATCCAAATCATAAAACTATATGGTGGTTAGAGCTTCCTCTTAGATGACATAATGGAAGCTAGATAAGTAATCGAGAAAATTATTGTATGATATTAAATTTCTAAAAGATTATCTTCCATTTTCAATGTTATATAAACGACTACACAGTTGACCTATTGCTTATCTAAAATATGCGATCATATGCTCTCACTCTCAGCAGCTGTAGTAATAATCTTAAATTACATAGCCACACAAATAATAGATGCTGGTTAATTTGCAGCCATGACACTCACGATGGTAACCCATCACAATTTATTCTGTTATATAAATTGATACAACAAAAACATTAAAACCTTTAGAAGAAATTATGCAAATATATTGAAGCCTTGAGTTATTTACACGGCAAGGATGCCATATTAGAAATGAAATATTTTGTAACTACAAAATAAGAACCAGAGTGATATCATGAAAGCAATTAAGATTTTATATATTATTGTCGCACCATCTTTAGTTGGTATATTATATCTTAAAATAATAGTAGTTTGTAATAATATCAAAAATATATTTGTATTAAAGATTTAACTCAAATCTATATTTCGAAGAAGAAAAATATAGCTTTCCTAAAAACACGTAAAAAAGAGAAGAAAAGATATCTAATTTATTACATCTATTGTGAGATGTAGTGTTGTTAAATGGTTGGTTTTTTTTGACAAAGACCCCTAGTCGAAGTCGTAAAAATTGGCCCAACCCTGAGCCAGGGTCGAAAAATCGACCACGACCCAGCCCGACCCATTCGGTCTGTTGAGCCGACCCGTGGTGGCTTACTGGGTCGGCCTACTGGGTTGGCTTGCTGGGTCAATTTGTTGAATATATTGAATATTAAACCAGTTTGTTTTAATCCGGGTTCAATGTTTTTGATATAAGAAAAATGTTCAAAAATCTTTTGTTCTAGTAATAAATAGGCACTGCCATTATATATTACTCCACGAGAAAAATATAAATGCGAAAATTAAAAAAAAATTTATCTTAAGCCTAGTTAAAATTTTTGATACTAGAAATATATTCTTAAACCTTTGGGTCTTGTAATAAATTGTCACTGTTGTTATATTTTAATCCACGAGGAAAATAAAGTTGTGAATTTTTTTTAAGACGTTGTTATAAACTTAGTTAAATGCTTGTGATTGTTATTTTCTTTGAATATATATTCCTGTAAAAATTTATTTTTCTCTTATATATTGCATCACCAAAAATTATGGTTATCACGCGAAATCAAGATCTCGCTGGGAGTGGTCAGCCCCCAGACAACCTCCTCACTCCCGATAACTCGTTATCTATCAACCCACCAGATAAACCGCAACTCTCACGCAAGCTATATTGGCCATCTCGCAGCAAATGCAGAATATGTCAACGCGCATGCAAGCCATGGAACAGGCTCATCGTGAAAGATCGCCACCAAGGAGCAATATGACGTCAACACCATACGTCCCTCCTAGGAGTAGACCTCCATCTCCTGCACCAACGCTACCTACCCCGCTGCCAAGACCACCGCCCATACCACTTACCATAGAAGAAAAAGTGGCTAAACTACAAAGAAATTGGGCTGGAGTTTGCACTGACCTCTTGGAGCCCCGATGCAAGGCTAGCGAACGTGATAGACACGAGCTCAAACATATTAAAGAAGTTGTTGACCAAATAACGATCAACACGGAACCAGGAATTGTGGACTCAATGACAAAAAGGGTCAGGATTTTAGGCCTAGCTATCCATTGGGGCTGGGACACCGCCAGATTAAATGATATGTCATACCAAGAGAAATTTCTAGACTCAGAAGAAATCAAATTAGCCAGGGACCCCTTTCGAGCAAGGGCCCGTGCAGGGCCCTCAACTTCCTACCAACGGAGACCTGCCAGGAAGGAGACGACCTCCACCAGGGGTAAGAAAAGGAAATAAATACCCCGGCCATGACACAAACATGCTATTTCTCCCTTCTTCTTCTCCCACTTTACCCCCCCCCCCCTAATACCCAAAGGCCCTTTTCAGGGCCACCCATTCATGATCTAACGGAAGTCACGAATCCGGACAACGGCCCTCCGGTCCGAAGAGCAGAAACAGTGCAATTCCCAGACTGGCTCAAAAGGGTAAACCTCTACCTAAGGGAATTGAGGCATCAACTGTTTTCTCCTGATGAAGGTATTAGTTCGGACGAAGAAAATAACAATAACAATAATCACATTCCGTCCATACCCGAACTAATACCCGCCGGTCAACCAGCTGCAACGGAGTCCGATACTCCCTCCTTCCGCTCGGAAGACTCAGGTATCCCTGAGTGGTGGATTCCAAATGCATCTTCAGCATCCTGGAATTCTAGCAGCAGTGGAGCCCCCGAGGAAGCGTCCATCATCTCCGGCCTGGTCGATTCTATCTACAGTGTCGGAGAGGATTCTGGTATGCCCCAGGTGGGGTCAACTACAGTGCCCAACCTTCCGGATATTCTCAATGGAATAGCCAACGTTGACACTCATGTGACTTTCACGGACGAGCAACTCCGGGAGCGCCCACAACTCGACATCAGCACCGCCAGGCTCACACCCGGGCCGCTAATGTCGAATTTTACAAGACGTGTAGCCAACCGGGGCTTTAGACCTCGGTTGGACCCCCTCAAAATTGCCAATAACCTAGGGCACTACTACACGCATAGACACAGCCATGAGATCTCCAGCCGATACAAGGACATCGTACAACAAATGCTGGCGGCTGACGTCATAATGGAAACTGATTCCGCACAACTATGCTCACCTTTGTATGTAATACCAAAAGCTAATGGAAACCCCAGAGTAATTAGTGACTTTTCGGAGACATCCAAGAATTTCCTGCATTACCCAATCAAACTAAAATCAATCCCGTTGATGTCAGTTAACTTACACAAGGCCAAGTTCGCTTGCAAAATTGACATAAAATCAGCCTTCTTCTCGATTCCATTAGCTCACCAAGTAAGAAAGTTCTTCGGTTTCAAAATCGACAACAAATATTACGCATACAAAGTATTACCTATGGGAGCGTCCTTCAGCCCATATTGCCTACAGTCAATTATCCTCGACGCTTGCGCAAAGACTGTAAGGAGAGCATCCTACAATGTCTACTTAGATGACATCTTAATCTACGGCGAATCTGAATTTGACGTCAAATGGTCCACGAGATCTTTCCGGTGCACTCTCGAAGGATGGGGCCTCGAAATATCATTGGAAAAATCGGTCTTAGACCCGACGC